GGGTCAAAGTTAGAACTGAAATTCCCTCAAATTGAGAAACTATTATGCAGAATTTTTATTTAAACTCCAGCAGAGACAATAAATAGCTGCAAAGTTCAGCTGGTTTATATCCTGAAGGACTTATGAAAGGCAAGGCTCATAACTAGTTATGAGAAAGTATAGGTAACACTTATTTCAAATGCAAGCCTTACCTATTTGTAATACCATATGCTTTTATGATACTACAATGTACAAGCCTCTACAATGTTTTGGATGCTGAATGCAAACCGAAAAGAATTCAATAATAGTTACGCTTGCAAAAAAACTCATCAAAAAATCTGTGCATTTTTCCCCCATTACAGAAAAAGGAGGAGAGTTGTAGACATCTACTTATTAAAAAATAAAAGCAGCAAAATGGAAATGAAAACTTGATTTACATGGTGAGATTAGATTCAGAAATACATTTTTCAATTTTTTATAGTACATTTTATGTTTCCCACTTCATTCTCTTCCATAACTTAGAGAAGCCTGGAATATCTACTGATTTTCCTACAAATCATGAAACCTTAATACGCTGTTACAATACTTGAACTATTAAAAGGAAAATGAATACAGATATTATTGAAGGTTCTACATTAAGCTTCACTCTCCATCTAACAATTTATATAATGTCTGAATATACATGGTCTTATCTTCTTGATGTACTTTCTGCCATGTACTCAGGGTCCTTTTCTTTCTAGAGGGCTCATACAGAAAATCGTTTTTATTGTGAAGCTCCACTAACACAATACAGAGCCTGCATGGCAATCTGGCATTGTTCTGAATGAAAAGAGTACATGCACGTAAACTGTGCCATTAAAAAACAATTTGGGAGATTAGAAAGAGCAAAGGAGAGAAAGAAAACATTGGTCCTGAAATAAAATAGTGGTGTTGGGAACTCAACATTTTATCTTCCTAGGCTCACAGTGCCATGTAATTATCAGTGAGAACTAGCTGTTCACTTAATTTATCATTGCAAAATAAACTCTGTGTGCATGGATGGTCTGTTGCATCTTGGAATTAACTACAATTCATGGCTATTGAAACACCAGCAATAAGCCCTTTTCTAAAAACATGCAGGAGGAGACAGAAGGTAGACTCACAAGTCAGTACTTATTCAGTTACCCGCTAACCTTGTTTCCAAAGTTTATAGGTCTCACTACCTTCTTTTGAAAGTTCTCCTGTTTAAAACTTTTGGCCTAAATGTCCAAAAGGGCAATGTCCAGTGAAGGGCTACAAAGATGATGAGGGACCTAGAATATCTCTCTTATTGGGTCTTTTTAGTCTGGAGAAGAGAAGACTGAGGGGGCAACTGATCAATGCCTACAAATACTTAAAGGGTGGGTGTCAAGAAGATGGGGCCAGTCTTTTTTCAGTGGTGCCCAGGGACAGGACAAGAGGAAATGGGCACAAACTGGAACATAAGAAGTTCCATCTAAACATGAGGAGGAACTTCTTTCCTGTGAGGGTGGCAGAGCCCTGGAAGAGGCTGCCCAGAGAGGTGGTGGAGTCTCCTTCTCTGGAGACATTCAAACCCACCTGGACACGTTCCTGTGCAACCTGCTCTGGGTGGACCTGCTTTGGCAGGGGCTTTGACTTAGATGATCTCCAGAGGTTCCTTCCAACCCCATAGTGTTCTGTGATTCATTCTGAGATTCTGTCCATGCACAGATGCTACACGTACAGTCTTACAGGCAAGTACATGTGCTCCCAAATTGGGTACAGATTGGAGACAACTATTGGATTTGTGGCTGTTTGAAAAGGTATTTAAATGACAGGCTTAGGTAATTTCATGTATAATTTGTAGCAGAAGTTTGGCCTATCTGTTTTATTTCAAGCTACAGGGAAATTAAAAACTGCTAAATTTAATAGTGTCTCTGAGAATATGAATGTGTGGTATAAAGCTGTGGCATACTGAACGACTCCAGAACTGACAGTTAAACAGCTACCATGATGCCAATGGATTATTCCAAATAATGTCAGCCTAAATTGGTGAAATTCAATGAAAAATATTACAGCTACACCTGATTCTGGCCACACTTGTTTTGAGCTGAATTGTGACACATCCTGACATCTGACTAGTTTAAGTGCCAGTCCAGAGCTCACTTATTCTTTGCTTACTATAAAATTGCCAGAAAACACCTTATTTTTGTCAGGAAATGTGTCACCACAGTAACTTGCTCTTTTCAATGTAATATTACTGAAAAAATAGATTTTTTTGTAGGTGACAAATTTTAACATGGGCTCTAAAGGCAATTACACTGTTCTTTAATCTGTAACTACGTTGACTTTCTTCCAGTTTTTCTTCCTTCGTCACCTCCTGTCATGACCCTCTGATCTGTAACTACGTTGACTTTCTTCCAGCTTTTCTTCCTTCGTCACCTCCTGTCATGACCTTAGTGCAGTGCTGTGTTGTCCCACAAACTGTAATAGTTTCTCTTCTGGCCTTTTTCTGAGTGTAGGCTTCAATTTCCTGCTAATCTACACGGTGCCTGGAGAATTGGTTTGTTTTGAAATGAGGTTGGTTTACCACCCTGTGTTGTAAATGCCATTCTAAACAGTGCAAACACTTATGTTGGTTTGGCTTATCCATGTCTTTCAAATCTCCAATGTTATGCTCCAGTAAATTTTACCACAGAACCTTTGCAACAGGCACATTCCACCCACCCGAAGCCTAATCCTCTACAAATATGCTCACACAAACCTCTTGCTTCTCAGTATCATTTTCTAGTTCATTTCTGTAGCATGGCGTGGTCATTTTGGCTGTCAAGTATCATTTTCATCTGGAAAAGGCAAAAAGACAAGCAAAGAAAACCAAGTAATTCTTCCCAAGTAAGAATGGATAATGTAGCAATTGGAAATGATCATTCATCAGTGATTTCAGATTCCACAAGGTGCAATGAGGGTGTGAAATTAAGATTCTCAGGCTTCTCCTCAGCTGAGGAAGAGCAAAAGATGGGAGCAAAGTGATTGCTGAGGGAAACTGTTAGGATAGTCACTGCCTCACCCCTGCCTCGCTGAAAAGGGAGCCTGCCTCTCACAGACACCTTCTTTATGGACCTAACACATACCAGGCACCTACTTGTACTGCATCCATTACACAAAGGATGCAGCTCATCTTGCAATATCTGCAGCCCTAGCCTATCTCACCCTTTCTGAGAAGAAACCCTCTTTGTTCCATCTATCTGCAGTACAGCTGGAACCTTCAGACTCTGGGACTGTGTCAACAGAAGAGGCAAGAGTGAGTGGAAGAGGTAAAGCCAGAGCAAAGTCACGTCCCCTTGGCTGGGGCACAGCGCTGTGGAAAAGACTCAAGCAAGCAAGATAAGCATCAGCCAGCAGTGAATAAGACCAGCTGCATCCTGGGCTGTATTAACAGGAACACAGCCCGTAGATCCAGAGAAGTTATTATCTCTTTCTACTCAGAGGGACCACATTAGGTGGAAGACCACATTAGACCACATCTGGAATACTGTATGCAGTTTTGGGTCCCCAGTACCACATATACTGGAGTGAATTCATTGAAGGGCCATCAAGACGGTTAGGGAGGGCTGGAGTGCTTGTCCTGTGGGGACAGGCTGAGGGACCACACTTTGTTCAGCCTGAAGGAGGCAAGACTTTGGGTAGACCTAATAGAAACCTGCCAGTGCCTGTTGGGAGGCTGTCAAGAAGATGAAGCCAGGCTCTTCATGCAGGGGTGCATGATGGGAGGACAACGGGCAACAGAAATGAGATGAAAGAAGAGAGGTTTTAACTGGATGTCTGGAAAACCTTTTTCTCTATTAGGATAATCGGCCAGTGGACAGGTTGCCCAGGCAGACCAGGCCACCTCCATCCATGGAAGATTTCAAGAACAAACTGGCTGAAGCCCTGAGACACCTGTTCCAATCTCAGAGCCAATCCTACTCTGAGTGGTGAGTCAGACAGGATGACCGCCTGAGATCCCCTCCAAGCTGCATTATTCTGTGATTCTGTAATTGTAAATCATTAAGTGTGCTGTTCAGAAAAACAGCTGCTAGAAAAGGCTACTTTGGTTACCTCTTACATGTTGGTTTTACCCTGTCTTTTACACTCTGCACACACTGATGAATACTGTGCTGCAGTCTGAAAGACTTTAAGGCTGGTCTAAAATCATGGCTCTCTTCCCAGCTGATAAGCTCTAGGCAGCTGACTCTTGAGAAATGTAGAGACTTCTGGTGTTTCCATTTTTTCTTCAGGCATCCTATCTGCTAAATCCACACCTCAACCCTGTAACTGCTACAGTAGTCAGTGAATGCCAGGAATACAGCAGGAGGATAACCACGGATAACTCCAGTGCAACCATGTGAAAACACAGAGAAAGCATCAGGAAGAGATAAAATGCTGCAGGGTGTTACAAAAGGAGCATTTCCAAGCCAAGTAATTTAATTGGTGTGTAGAAATCTTTCTCTACCTTCCTCCCATGAGATTAGCTTGCTTGCCATCACTGGTAGTTTTTCTCAGGAGAGAATGAAAAGTAGACTACAGAAAGTCACAGTATATACGTCATTGGTAGTAACAGCTTAGCGCCAACCCCACACTTTAAACAACGCTAACTCTTTCTGCTTCAAACTTGCTATTGCTTCACCCAGCTGTCACCATTCCTCTCTATAACATTTGTTTTCCATCCATGCTCACTCTCCTCCAAATTCTGACTTTCCTCCCTGTGCTTCCAGAGATCCTAAGCCTGCTCATTTTCTGCCTTCAGTGTTAGCCAGACTGTGAAGGATAGGAAGAAAAAACCTCTAAGGCCAGTCCCTCTGCTGCAGAAAACACAAAACGGATACAAAAATACACAGACTTGGTAATATTCCTACAGATGACCAACAGAGGAGGTTAAGTGACCTCAAATAATACATTAATTGACATAAGAAAGGAGATGACACACTTGAATTGACTAGCCGTGAGAATGGTTGGAAATTGAGGATATTTGTGAGACCTGACACCTGTCATCCACACTGTCCATGGATGCCACCTATCAAGATGTTTCACCCCCGTGGCAGGTGACGTTCAGGCTCTTCATGGAACGACATGGAGGACTTCTGTCTGCCTTTACCCCGTCATGGGATGTCACTTCAATGGTTGATGGGACCAACACCAGCTATTCCAGAGCTCAGCACCCCTCCATGCACAAGGTACTTTCATACCGTGTGAGCACTAACTACAAAATGTTTGTGGGCCTCCAAGGAAATCTTAAACCACACCAAATCTTGACCCACCAATGGCACTGTCATCTTTCCGATGGACTTAATGAAATTGGGACCTTGCCCCTGGGCTAATTAAAGCTAATTAATTGTCCCGTTCTGTATCTTTGAAAGATTTGTTCTATTTGGTGTATTTGATATGCATATTTGTTGTCATTCTAGAAAACCTTTACTCCTGCAAAGAGCTTGTTCTCCAGAAAATTAGAACAGCATCATTATACATGTACCAAAGAAGTATGTATTGCAGTGGATAACCTCTATGAGTGCAATTCACTGATAATTTCCAGAAATCCCTTGAGATCACTTGGCTGTTTCTATTTTCCGTATAAAGTATAATTAAGAGAAAAAATTATAAGTGAAATTCACAGTATGAATTCTTGAACTAATTTCATTGATGTCAGTAGAATTACAGTGGAAATTAATTTAGTTCTGTGACTGTCAAGGAAAGAAGCTGTCAAAGCAAAGTTATGGATATTTTTTTTGTGTGTCTTAATTTTTCTGTTAATGAAAGGACACAAAAATATATTCTGTATGGAACCATATACTATCTTAATAACATGACCAATTGGAAATTAATATGATCCACCCTTCATAATTTACTATGCCCTTCACTAATGTGCTTATTACAACAGATAGTCAAAGGGTTGCCCTTAGGATTTTATCGCTATTTGATGTAAACCAAACTGGAAGTTATTTTTAGATGTCATGTATTCAATATTTGAAATATATTTCCTACTTTAAAATGCAGAGATTATGGAAATTCTTTAGAAATATAGACTTGGCCTTGTTTTTGCATGTTTTTCTATGTTATTGCACACTTTTTTGGATATGTTACAGTATTTCCAATCAGCCATTAGTAATAGGTTTAGCAGTTGTTTCAACCTCCCCTCAAAATTCTTGTTCTCATTTTTATTCCATAGAAGGCAACTTAGGGATCCATCTGCAAACACTTGCTGTTCAAAGCAGTGCTCGATACCATTAATAGTCCTCGTGAAACCAAAGTCACAAGTATTCTGCCTAGTAATGGGAGTCTGGAGGATTGGAGCTTAGGTTGCAAATGTTTGTTTGATTTCAAGAGCTGATTCAGGCAACCTGTGTTTCACACAACAAGTGTCTACCATGTTCTGTAACTCCTGCTTTCTATTTCTCATGCTTCTGATCAGCTGTTATCTACTTGAACACGGGCCATACAGTCTCCATGCTTCAGTTTACATGGTTTTAGAATAGAAAGAAAAACTGTCCTATGGCATTTGGGAACACAATGCTTCATTAGGTGATTTGAGAATGAACTGCGCCAGTGACAGAAGTACCCAGAGGTCTTCTGTGGAAATGTACCCTTCTGAAGAGTCCACAAAAAGTAAAATTTTCAACAAGATCTTGCCCTACTCTTTTTTTTTAACTCTCACTCACTGTTTCTGTAGCTGTGGTACCTAGTGGTCCCACTCAGGGCCCCATTACACTAAACGCTAAAGAACATCCCAATAATATTAATATTTAGGCTTCATTTTGTTAATATAATGACATTTACATCTTGAGACGTCTAATTTCAGGTTCCCTATGCAGTCAACTGAGAGCAAGTGGATTCTTAACTTCTCACAGTTCATTACAAAGGGAATCTCTTCTTCTAATTTAAGCGGCTAATTTAGATGCCTAAGACTCAGCTACATCCAAAAGCGTGTATTGAAGCAACTGAATACAAACAAAACAAAACAAAACAAAAGCCTCAGGTGTCCAGTTCAAAGAGGCAATTTGGGAAGGAACTGCTCACTGAAAGGAGCAATGACTCTAAACCAGGCAGAAGACTGTACAAAGTAGGTATCTATGCTACCTCTTCACCTAAGTTCCCTACTGCGCTCCAACCTTGTGCTGGTGAGCCAGAGGAGAAGGACCTCTCTGCGTTTAAGTCTAACCCAAAATCCAGTATTTCACAATGTTTTCTTTTTCAAAGAATCAAGCACATTTTTTACATTTAAGAAATAAGAAATATATGATAATGGAAATGGCAGAGGCATGAAATATCTGTTCTGTTAAAGCAACAGCACGTATTCCAAGTTTAGAGAAAGCCAAGGCACTCAACCACAATGATTTTCATTTTCCGTTTAAAATTCTAGTATTTATCTTCTCTTTTGCCATTAACCAACAAAACTCCATTCAGGTTTCTACCTGATAAGGCCACACAGATGCAATGATTTTTAGTTTACCTGACCAACTACATTAAAAGGTTTTTATATCACAGTTGCAACTGACATTATCAGAAAATTCCATAACATGCGCAATATAAGACGGTTTTCTCAAATATAATTTTCAAACTGTGGCATTGTTGGATGCTACCACACATTTTATCTAAACTCAAATTAGGTCTACTAAACCTTACCAATAATTTGAGAGCAATAATCCAAAGATTTTTGACTGGCACTTTTATGCAAATAATACACACACATTCCCCCAAAACACAAAGCTCAAGCAAAAATCTTTGCAAAGTGTCTTTAAGAGTTCATATTTGTATCTGTTATTGAGTGGCTTACAAATGCCTGTAAATTAAAAAGAAAAAAAAAACAAACAAAAAGCACAGCAGCACAGTGTATAAGCAAAGGATTTTACTGCACTTTGTAAAGGGTATCCTATTCCATCACTGCTTCTGTCACCCTAATATGTTTCATATGAACGTAACAAATGGGAACTAATTCAAAGAAGTGTTAAAGCAGTTAAGTTGTATTGACATTTATTTTGACATAGATGGAAGAGTAGGACACACAATAAAATACCACTCTACTTGTGCATCGAAGTTTTATTTTTATTTGCAACCGCACAAATCTTACTACAGTGAGGGTTTTATTCCTCTAATTTTGTCTTCAGCTTTGTGAATGTAGCTCTAAGCCAAATATACTAGGCTGCTTGGGAAGCCATACATGGTCAAACTGCTACCACAAGTCTGTACCGCATGGAAAGTTAGTCTATATATGTGTACTGTTGATAGATATATGTAGCAGCAGTTAAACATATGTACTACGTCTTTCTCGGGGACATAAGTCAACTTTACACAGACTTTTATCAAACCAGTTTTCCCAAACAAATATCTTCTGATGTGATAGAAATTTCAACACTTCTTATTTAAACTAGAAATTAAATTTAAAACACTTGAGCAGAGATCCTTCTGCACGCCAAATGAAAAGTGTGCTCTGGAGTGCACTTTAAATGTACCATGTTAGAAGAAGTACATACAGAGAAAATTCAGGAGGTGGAAAAAGAGGAATTTCTCCTGCAGCTCTCTGGTTTCACGCTGACTGAACTACTTGGGTAGGTGAGGATAACCAACCATGTGTGCACTTATAGGACTGGTGCCATTGCTTATCAAACGCTCAGTTGCAGATAATAATTGTCAAACATTACCAACTCATTACTATTTGAGTGATTGTGAAGTTCAAAGACACCTATCTGGCTGAATCTTTGTTCTTTGTTTGTATAAAGTAATCCAGTGCTGCAAAGATTCGCTAATACAGAATTGAGTGTAAAGACCTTAATTTTTTCTGAAGTCACAGAATCACAGAATCACAGAATTATCTAGGCTGGAAGAGACCCTTGGGATCATCGAGTCCAGCCAATCACCCTAAAGTTCTCCCCTACACCATATCCCCCAACACCACATCTAATGATGGAGCACAAAGGAAGGACCCCTCTCAAAATGAAGAAGAATGGGTGTTATGGGAATGTCTTAAGCACAAAGCTGCCCCACATCATCTTTCTCTGACTGAAAATCCTGTCTGGTTGACATTCAGAAGACTTCCTTCTTTGTCTGGGATATCCTGATGTGCAGCAGCACGGTCAGACGCTGTGCAGGGACTACAACTAGGCTGCCACGTGTTAAAACGACCTGGGACATACCCATAAACCCGCGCACGCACAGAAGTTGATGACTTTTAAGAAACATTGGACTGATTGCACAGACATGATGGTCCATGTAGACCCGTCTGCTCAGGCTTCTCCAGATTTGCATATATTTCCTGCTTTCTGCACCTAAAGGAGGCTATTTCTTCTCCTGCCCTTCCTGTGGCTTCATTTGAAGTTCCCTGTGTATATATTTTTTGCCAAGCAATTTTACACCTGATAATTCATAGAATAATACAAGTTGGAAGTGACTTCCAAATGTCACCTAGACCAACGTTCTGTTCAAAGCAGGGCTAGCTTCAAGTTAGAGTGGGTTGCTAATGGCCTTGTCCAGCCACATTTTGAAAACCTCCAGCAGTGGAGACTTCACTGTATCTCTGGGCACTGTTCTGCTCAGCCACTTTCATTGCCAGGATTCTTCTCCTTATATCCAAGGACTTGGATATAAGGAGCTTCCCTCAGATATAACTTGGACATAATTGAACTTCCCTTGTGGCAAGTTGTGACCGTTGCCTTTAAGTCTTTCACAAGACAGCTTTAAGGACAGTCTGGCTTTGTCTTCTCTACAACCTCCCTCTAAAACCAAACAGGACCCCCAGGTCCTTTTCTACAGAGCTGCTTTCTAGCCAGCCAGTCCCCAGCCTGTGCTGTTGAGGGGGGGTTACTGCATCCCAGTGTCTTGAGATTCCCATCAGCCCATTTCTGCAGTTTGCCAAGGTCCCTCTGAATGGCCACCCTGTCTGCCCAGCAAGTTATGTGCTTCTGGATGCTTCTCACGATCCAGAAAGGAGGTGGCTGAGAAAGCCCCGTGTCACTTTGCCAGATTCCTGGCTGGGACCCCCGCAAATTATCTGGATAGGGGGGATATATTCCCAACGTACGGTACATGCACTGCTAGCGGTATAACAGCAACTTTTGACAAGGCAACGGCACCACAGAAGTATAAATCCGGTGCTGGTGCCATGCTCAGGGAAGAAACACAGTTTGGGAAGTCTTGATCTATCAATTCTTACAGGGCAGTACATGAAAAACCATGTCAGACGTTAAAACATCACCTATTTATGCTCTAATGTGAGCATGTAGAGCATACCCAAAAAGCATCCTAGAAACAAGATATATTCCCTTGACCACATTTTACTCATAATGGCAATTAACAGATGCGGACCTTCTTGTCACAACCATTTAGTTTAAGGAAAGATGAGCTCCTTCAGATCCAGCGTAGTAGTTTAAAAAGTTAACCACCTGCAACCATTTTCCTACACACTTGTAGTCAAAGTAACATGATCCAAAGTAACATGATCTTCATCGGCCCTCGGTGCAAGTTAGCTTGAAGCACCACCAAGTAAGCTTCACAAACCTCTGCTAGGCTGTGGAAGCAAGAGCTGTGATAAACAGCTGGGAACTGTAACATCCTAAATTTATTGTGCCCGTTCTCCAGGACGTAGTTTCATTTGACTTAAATAAAGGGAGATGGGGGAAAATGGGAAGGAAAGGTCTAACAATTAGCTTGTTTCAAACCAAATTTCTTCAGCCAGTGAGGCAAATTCCTGGAAAGATTTACAGGTAGACTTATAAGCATGTGCCCACTGCTAAGAATACTGACCCACTTCTGGACTCAAGGGAGTCCAAGAGTGAAAGGACCACTGTAGAGGAAGTTACTGCATGGCAAGTGTCCTCCTGCACTGAAAACATTCAGTGACTGCAGCCTGGCACTGTCGGGTAACAACACACATGGGGAAATCTTCACTGGTTATGGAGTGAAGTTGGGCAAAGCATGAAAGGGTGGAATCCAAAAACAAAACTCCTTTCACAAAACTGGACTACTCAGCCTCTGCAATGGCTTCCTGGAATCCAAAAGTGTCTTGTGGGCTGTAGGACTAAAGAGCCCAGAGGCCCTGAAGCTGCTATTTAGGAAGAGCAAAGACCTCCAGAATCATGCTACTAACCCACCCATTCATAGGTGGCACTTGTTCATTTTCTCTGACAAGTATTGAAACTATTTTTCATTTCTTTTAAGCTTGGTAAAAACGTAAGTAAGAAGGGAATTGGGTCAGCGTTCAAGGAAGATCTAGAACAATTAGGAGGATCTTCAGAATGTCAAGTTAAAAGGTCAAGCTGTAGAACGCAGCTCTGCAGCTTACAAAATATAGAAAGACATCAGTAATAACTTACTTAATCAGCCATTCTAAAATGACCAGTGCAGAGGCTTTATCTAAAAACCTAATGATTTTAAAAGAATGCTAAAATTAGAGATAGCTGGGAATTTTTGGATTATTTTTGTTTCCACTCCTTCCCACATTTTTCAATCAAATGAGAGCTGATGTTGGGCCACAGAGACTCTGCTTGCACATTTGCCTCCTGTCTTGCCTCCCTTGCACAAACAGATCCTGACTGGGCTAATTATCCCAAACTCCATCAAACACAGTTATTATTTTGCAATGTCCCTTCTTTTTGCAAAATTAATTGTTTTTTTTTCCCTTTTTCTTCAGGTTGCTGCAACTCTAACTGATTCTAGCTCCTTAAAGTTCTTTCTTTTTACTGTACTGATTGGAAAATCTGTCACTATCTTTATAATAGAGTCCAGAGATTTGCATTGAACTATACATATATATATATCATGTGATAATCATCTTTTTTTTTTTTTTTTAATGTGAACAAATAGAATTTAGAAACTGCTAGTCTGTGCCTTCTGCAATTCAGCTGAAAAGTCTAAGTTGCTTATACATATTTCACATTTCTGAGGCTTTTTTCCCTACTATACAAACCAGATTAACTGTATGAACTGGGTCATTGTCCAAAATCTGGAGAGTATAAGACAGTAGCTTCAGAGATGTGCCAACAAATGGTATGTGCATGTACCAACTATTTCCGTGCGGGTTCTGAGAAAGGACACTTTCGTAAGAAACTATTTTTTACTGTTAATCAAACCAGAATGTTTCATTCCTTAAAGGAATGAGTGCAGCCCGTTCCAAATAGCAAACTCCTGTTATTCTACAACAGCCACTTAGATTTCTTAGAAGTCTGAAGGACTGAATCAACAGAAAACAATACCTGCTGGGAAATTTTTTCTCCTCCATTTTTCCCATCTCTCGGTTTTGCATGTGGTATTGTGGCAGCTGAACAGATGTAACCTGTAACAGATGTAATTAACAGATGTTAATAGCAGTGCCCTATTAACAATATTGTATTTGGCTTTGACAATGCTTTTAGGCAGAGCATTCGTAGCAGCAAGCCATGCTCTTACTGACAAGCACACCTCACTTTAATGCGCTTGGCTCTCTGACATACAAGCCTTTGTGGACTTTCCTGTGGCGATTTAAGGTGTCCACACCCTCTGTGATCTACCCTCATAGGCGCCACAGGAGCCACTGCCCAGCAGACCCTGTTATCTATCCTTGCCTTTGACCAGACAGGCCGCTGTAAATCCCAAGGGCCAGCTGGTGAGGCCTGCAATGGAGGGGCCAGTGCATGAGGAGGGCCATGAAGGTGATCCAAGGGCCAGAGCACCTGCCCCATTGCCGACAGGCTGAGAGAGCTGGGGTTGTTCAGCCTGGAGAAGAGAAGGCTCTGGGGAGACTTCATGGTGGCCTTCCAGTACCTGAAGGGGGCCTACAAGCTGGAGAGGGGCTTTGCAGAAGGGCATGAAGGGACAGGATGAGGGGCAATGGCTTCCAACTGGAAAAGGGAAGATTTAAATTAGATATCAGGAAAAAAAAATAATCACCTGAGGGTGGTGAGGCACTGGAACAGGTTGCCCAGAGAAGCTGTGGCTGCCCCATCCCTGGAGGGGTTCAAGGCCAGGCTGGATGGGGCTTGGAGCAACCTGGTGTGGTGGGAGGTGTCCCTGCCCAGGGCAGGGGGTTGGAACTCGATGATCTTTAAGGTCCCTTTCCAACCCAAACCATTCTATGATCCTGTGAGAGCCGCGGGAGGGGCCGGACCAGGACGCCAGCCCTCCCTCACCGCGCTTGACAGGCTCGGAGCCCGCCAAGCCGCCCTGCCCGAGGCCGGCTCCCCTTCCCGCCTC